AAATCTTTCGCGGAAAAAAAAGATACTTTCGCGAACCTCATCGCGAATCTTTCGCGGATGGTTCTAACAACATCTGAAAGGCTGTTTTATATAAAACTCCTTACACGGGGTTTTCGATCAACTCCCATATGAATGATTGAGCTCTTCACAGAATCCTGGTGATGTCAGTGATGTTCAACCTACAACTTCTGGAAGGTGGATGAAGCTGGTGCGACTCAAAATGTCGGTCTTTCACAAAGCTTTTGGTCTTTAAATGACCCAAGCGACCAAAACCGGGCTGTCGTGTTCCGCCTCGGTGAAGCGCCCCACGTGGTCACCGAAGGCCTCGTTGCCGTTGAAGTCGGCGATCTGCGTACTTCACCCTGCGGCGCTCAGATCTCACCTCTTCGAAGGTGCAAAAATGGCAAAACCTCGGAGAGGTGAAGAGGTGCCGAAGAAAAGCGAGATGCTCACATGAATGAAACACAAAACCTCACAGAGTTTCAATTGGGGTTGGCTTAGTTCAATAATGTGTGATTTCTCCCCTCAATTGGTGCGTGATCCCATTTCGAGTTTGGGTCTTAGGTTGACAAAATGGGACAAGGGACATGGGACAAGGTTGACAAACTGGTTGACAAGGTTGACAAATTACACCACCGTAGACCCCAAACAGGTGGGACAACAACGAAGCATTCCCAAGTCCACTTTTTGAGACATCAACAAGAAGGGAGACAAGAAGGGAGACAAAAGGAAACAGAAGGGAGACAAGACGGGCACAATGACCAGCAAGAAGGGAGACAAGGGAGACAAAAGGAAATAGAAGGGAGACAAGACGGACACAATGACCAACAAGAAGGGAGACAAGACCGGAGACAAAGAGGCAGAAGGGAGACAAGGTGGACACAGTGACCAACAAGAAGGGAGACAAGACCGGAGACACAGGGAGACAAGAAGGAAGACAAGGTGGACACAATGACCAACAAGAAGGGGGACAACAAGGGAGAGAAGAAGGGAGACAAAAGGAAACAGAAGGGAGACAAGACGGACACAGTGACCAACAAGAAGGGAGACAAGACCGGAGACAAAGGGAGACAGAAGGGAGACA